CTGAGCAGGGCTCCCAGCCGGTCCTGCCACTGACACGGCGGACAGGGCCTGTCCCCCTTCCCGGCGATAGGGCCGCCAGCTCTCCGCCCGCTTGGCAAACACAGCCGAGTGCCCACGGGCTCACCCGGAGAGGCACACCCAGGCCCCGCCCTCTGCCTCGCTCTCTCCCCGAAACACTCACCCACGACCCGGTCTCCCTTCCTCACTCCCATTTTCCGCATCGCGGCCGCGAACAACGCCACCTGCTGCCGCAGCTCCTCAAAGGTCACCTTCACGATCTCCTCCCTGCCCTCCCCTGCAGGAGAAAAAGGAGGACGGTCGCACCGGCCTAGGAACCAGGAGGCCAGGGTTCGATTCCGGGTCGGGGCACATGCAGGACTGCAGGCTCCATCCCCAGTGGGGGGCGTGCGGGAGGCGGCCGATCCATGATTCTCTCTCATCATTGATGGTTCTCTCTCTCCCTCTCCCTTCCTCTCTGAAAACAATAAAAATATGTTAAAAAGAAAAGATGTGGAAGCGGACAGGGGTGATGGCTTCAGGGGTGACGGCTTCACGGCCTGTGACTGTGCTGACACCCACTCAGGTCCACGCGCCCACGGGGTGATTCTGTAACAGGGCTCCTGTGCTGGCACCGGAGTGACACCCCCGGGAGGGAGGGAGGAGGGGGAGCGGGGACGTGGGCGTGGCTCCCGGGACTCACTGGCCACATAGAGGGCGACCTTGTCGTTCTCCGGGTGCCGCAGCAGGTTCTCCGCGTAGTTCAGACGGCTGCCCGCAAACCACTCGGGGACGTCCTCCACCCCTTTGGAGGGGTCCACCACCTACGGGGAGCGACAGGGAGCAGGCACACAGGGCAAATGAAGAACCGAGACGCCTCGTCCCAGGAAGCCCGAGGCCTCCTATCCCCCCTTTGACAGACGAAACCCTGAACTGGCCTCAACTGGGAAGTTGGGGCTTCCGCCTTCTCCCCACACAAAATAGAGTGAGCCCGGTCGGCGTGGCTCAGTGGCTGAGCGTGGGCCTATGAACCAGGAAGTCACGGTTCGATTCCCGGTCAGGGCACAGGCCCAGGATGCAGGCTCCATCCCCAGGGTGGCGAGGCCTGCAGGAGGCCGCTGATCAAGGGTTCTCTCTCATCACGGATGTTTCTCTCTCCCTCTCTGAAGTCAATAACAATGTATTTTTTTAAAAAAAAGAAGGAAAGAGCCGAAACAGGTTTGGCTCAGTGGATAGAGCGTCAGCCTGCGGACTGAGAGGTCCCAGGTTCGATTCCGGTCAAGGGCATGTACCTGGGTCGCGGGCACATCCCCAGTGGGGGATGTGCAAGAGGCAGCTGATCGATGTTTCTCTCTCTTCGATGTTTCTAACTCTATCTCTCTCCCTTCCTCTCTGTGAAAAATCAATAAAATATATTTTAAAAAAAAAAAGGAAAGAGAGAAAGGCTAAAAATGAACACTTCACTTTGGAACAGAACCATAAAGATGACACGTGACAAGAACCCCCCCTTACCTCGTCATACATGCGCGAAGACACGATGCCACTGAACGTCCAGAATTCGGCCCAGAAGTCTGCGTAGGACTCCACTGACCACTGGTACAGGTCGTGGTAATTTCCTGGAAATGACGTCAAAGGGCACAGGGCTCAACGAACCTCAGAAGCAGTTTGAGCAG